AAGGTTTGAAACGTAATGAATGAATTTTACAAAATGGCCATGTTCCACATCGGCAGTTAGAGAAGGGATTTCAGATTGTAGGTATAAACAAAGGTTTGTATTAACATAGGTAGGAGAGATTATAATAGCGGTTAATTCCCAAGATAAGGGATACAAGGAACAATTAAGGAATTAAAAATGGACGGGTTGCTTGAGAAAATATATTTGGGAATATTGAATTTTATTAGCATAAGTGGATTAGAAAGACCCGGGGGAAAACCCCGATTATGAATAATGAAAAATTAAATGACTTAAACAAGATTAGTTAGCAATACATAAAATAAAAATAATGCCATAAAACAGTCTGTTTTGTTGTACAAATTTTAGAGCTGGCAACTCTAGGCTAAATACTAAAAAAATTAAGATTCACTTCTGAAAACATAATAATTTCGATAGCAAGCTTTTGAGATCGAACATCTACCATTTCAGATATCCCCATGTTGGTCTTGGCCTCATCGAGTATGTAGTATTCGAAACCTATCAATTTGTAGATTATCATTATTATATTAGTTACTTTTCGTCGTAGGTTGTAGAAAGATCATTATTTCGTTTTTTGTAGGACAAAGTCAACTACTGACAATTCTAAAAAGAGTGAAGAGTTCATTTCCACTTTTCCAATATCTGTTCAAGTTTCGGAAAGGTAATCCATTATTCCCATGAAACATACATAGTACTTTCTTGTGGATACATCAGCAGAATAATGAAACATTTGTCTTTCAGTGATAATATCAGTGATGATGTTCAGTCAATGTGTAGCAAATATCTCTCTGCCGTAGCCTCACCCTTTCAAAATGTGGAAACGACTGATAAGATTACCCAAAGGTAGAAATATATTCATTCTGATCTATCTGGTATGAACTTATATTTTATTTTTTCAGGTCTTGTATAGACATATCTCTGCAGGGGCGACGTTTGACAGATATCGGATATTTATTTATTTCTGCAATTAGCATAAATATCTAAGCACCCACCATTCGATTGTACATTGAGTGATATGTATCCAATTCATGAATATAAAATGGGTTTGAAAACCAAAGTTAGTATGCAAAATGTGCAATATCAAAAAAACATTTATCTTATAGAAGAAACCGACGGAGGAATGGACATAAATAGCGTTTTAACGTTGGCCACAGTTTCAACCGGAAATGGCTACTCTACAGTAAATGAGATGCTCTTTGTTTTAAATGTACCGTTCATGAGTAACTCTACTTATCAGCAACACCACGAAAATGTAGCTGATATCATTGAAGAGACTGCTTGGAAGGTCATGGAGGAAGCAGGTCAAGAAGAGGCTCGAATAGCTCAAGATTTAGGAGAGGTGGGTGATTTTCTCCTACAAAGTACAGATTATATTTTGACCTTGTACAGTGCTTTTCTTTAATCTGTCTTCTTCCCTCTTATTTTTTGAACGAATTCAATTAGGAAATTGAAATGTGGAATGAAGTGTTAGTTTTCTGATTTTAGTGTCAGGTAAATAAAAAATCTGCAATTTTATGTTGGGTAAATAATCTGAAAATATACCTTTGAAATTAGGTGAAGTAAGCCCGCCCACCTCAGATGGAGAAGTGTTTTTTCCGTGCAACTTCATTTTTATTTGTGCAATGAAATGAAGATAATAATCAAAATTCAATTAACACATAGAAAGCAAAGTATTTAAAAAAATTTGCCAGTACCTCTGCCCTCCAGGCCTAAGGAAACTAGTCGTAGGCACTAGTCGAAGAAAACTACGCACCTCAATAAAATCTGCTAGGATGTCCAGGATTAGAGAAAAAACTTCTTTGGCCCAAAAAGTTGCAAACTTAGGCATAGGCCTCAAGAATATTCCATCACATTTATTCGGACAGCATGAAAAAATGTCAGGAGATAGCATATTTCAAGTGTTCTGTAAGGTTAAATGAAGTTGATCATATCCTCAGCATGAGAGCGTGTGGTCTATTGGACGATATTGAAGTTTGTATCAACCGCTTAGTTTTAAATGCAACCATTGATAGCGGATCTGGATACCAATATCGCTGAACAATACAATGGCATCATCTAAATAAATACATTTCAAATTGCTTTCAATTTTTTTCGTCTTTAGACAAAAAACAGCATATCTACTTCTCGACTGTCTGCCATAACAATACAGTTTTCAAACAATCGAACATGTATTTATCGATAGAAATATGGTTACCTAGGTATTTATCCGTGAATAAGGCAAGTATCTAGATAAAACCCTGACCTTCGACTATGTGCGTTTATTGTAATATGTAACATAAAGGCGGAGATTGCGCGACGACGTGCTCGCCCGTTTCCGTAGTGAAATCGTCAGTAAATTGGGAGATGTGCCATTTGAAACGTTGTCTTTGGTCATCTCACTTGCATATTTTGGAACACGCCCACCGATCCGCTCGAAATTTTGAGGTTAATGCATTTTCACAACCCGAGTGCAGGTGTTCATTCCTCTCTATCTATAAATCAATAATTCTGGTAGGTATGATTTAATTTTTTTTTTCTTTGAACACTTCAGATTCATGCGCTTCTAAAAGATAATTTGCACTATTAAAGTCTTTGAAATTTATTCGTACTCGACTTCTACCAACCTAATCAATATTTTTAATTTTTTTATCTAACAATGGCCAAGTATTCAAAACAATCCCGCCAATTTTCATAGGATTTATACGCGATTCATCCGTACTCTCTATATATACTTGATACGGACCTGTATTCATATGAACATAGCGTAAATTTTCTATTTCTTTACTTATCGTTGGTTGTTGATGTTTTTTCACGTGTACTCTGAATTCCATCAATATTATCTACTGTTTCCCAATCGGCTACTAATTGTTCACCAAAATTTTTTCAAAATCTTTGTTATCTAGATGGAACTCTACTACGTTAAGTTCTGCTACTTTCGTTTTTTCTATAATTTTTTGGTTACCTATCGGGGTGTCCAATAACATGGCATCGTCGTCTCATGTTATATCTCTGGATGTTGGGGTGCAATTTACATCAGGGGGTTTCCCCCCGCTATTGACACTCATAACTTCCGTAAAATTCAATTTAATTAGCGAAGTTTCTCTAAAAAACACTATTAATGCACAACTCACTATCGAACGTTTCCGTTAGCTGCGGAGCAGGGTCGTACTGGTAATCTGACATTAGGTATTGTAAATTGAACTCGACAGGTTGTCGGACATGATTGACATAAAACATAAAGTTTGACAGGAAGTCGAAGTTAAGTTTTTTTATCTGGCATTCAATAATACTACGTCTAAGTTTGTCAGAACGTGTTTGACAGAATTTCTTATTCTGACCATTGCAGTGCTGTCAATGAGATCTCAGAGAACTATGAAATGATATCTAACAGAGAGTGAAGGTAAAGAGTCTCCTTTACGGAATTATTAATTGTTCTCAAATTCATCATCTTCATTCAAACAAAGGAGATAGGCTGAGACTTTCAATTTCTGTCTTGAAATTTTCCAGGGAAATTAATTCAAACCGGAAAAGCTTAGAATATTTTACAACAGAAAATGTCTGTTTTGATACATATCTACACGATATCGTGAAGCAAATAACGGATATTGCATAAAGTGCAAAAAAGTTTTGACACTAGTGAGCATGCTATCTGTGAATGCTGAGTAGAACGAACAGAGATACGATATTGATATAGGGTGACGTTCTCCTCTGAACGTTCTCCCCATAATTGTGACAGGCATTATCAGTGTTCTTATGATGCACTGTTTGGTGTGATAATAAATAACGGTTTGGTGTTGGGAAAAAATCCAGTAATATTCATTATCAGCGTTGCCAACTATCGCTGAAAATTCCCATAGAAATGATTTACGAACGGGATGTTTTGAGTCAATCTCTTGAATGGAACATGTCTGTCTAGCCCAGGTAACAGATACTATTTCATTTTTGATAATAAAAGAGTAAAAGTTGAAAATTTTGGTCGTATTTCTCGATAACTTTGTCGGTAACTTTGTGGTTTTGCGCTGATCTTCATAGAAATAATGAATATAGATCTTCAGAACTACAATCAGAATAGCTGCCTCGTCAGATATTTTTGAAGTGAATTATTATATCTTGCACACCAACGGTAATTTGATGCTTCTCAAACAGTCAGTATGTTTTGGGATTTTTTGTGGCCGACTCATGTCCAGGATGACTTGAGTATAGATATTAATGAAAGTAGAATTTTCCTGTTTCCATGAAAATATTCGTTGAAAACGTAATGGTTTGCAAACACTATATGCTGGGGTTCTATCATGCCTACGCCAAATTAAGTTCATTAGATAGCCAACAAGTTTCCTGGTTCCAGAAACCACGCCTCAAAATTATTTGCATATGAAAAAGGTGATTATTGTATACCAAATGTGGAAAAAATATTTTACCAAGATTTTGAAGTAATCTGGCATAACTGAGTTATTTGCTACTATTCTGATGACTATATTAGTGTGAATTTTTCTTCATTTATTGACTGATGAGATTTTCTCAACCACAAACAAACCTGAAAATTGAATTTGACTATGGGAATAGAGATGCTACCGCGTAGAAAATTAAGATATTTGATGTGATATTATCCGATCAGAAAACACTTTGATGCAAGTAGCAGGTTACAGCCGGTTCTGGGCCTCCCCCCACCGCTATGACGTATTAATTGCATTTTTTCGTTTTTGTTTAGTAACATCAAGGCGATGTGACCTTGAAGGGTCTGGTGCAGGTATCGTTCAGAATTTTTTTTTTCATATGGGATTTTTGGTTGTGTGTGTGTGTGTGTGTGTGACATAGTGACGTAATTACATTTGATTGGTGTGTGTGTGTGTGAGAGAGAATGCACGGTACAGGGTTTCATCATGTGCTTG